TAGCTACTTAAACTACAAGTAACTGATTAATTGCTCTTCAATCTGATTTTGTTTCTCATTTCACTAAGAAAAGCTGTTTGCTTTTTCCCCCTTTTATATGCTTATGGCCCCTCCAATTAAACTAACAAAAAAAAAAAAAGTTGAGTTGACTCTACACAAACTACACTTCACTTAATCATTGATAGAAGGATAAGTCCACGATCTTAAGAACTCACTCCTCTATTAATAATTAAAAGTAGTGCAGTACACTCTACCCTCTCTTAAACTAAACATTGTTTAATTTGTTACTCCAACACCAACATTCTCATCTTTAGGCGTAGTTCTTGCAAAGCACTCATAATCTCTAGATTTGGTTACTAATGACAATCAATTGAGACGCGATTTAGGTCCCATGAAATATAATTTTCGTGCAATAAAGCAAGCAGCAGCATGTGAATGAAATGACGATATAGATTATGGAAGACACAAGCAGATCAAGAACACAGCATGTTATGTAATATCTGGGGTCCAAGGAAGAATCCGACACAATAACCTTGATTTTCCCCCGTTATGACAACCAAATGTTTGCATTACTATTTAGTACTTTCAGAACAAGAAGTCACACCATTGTGTTTGATCTTTCTTCCTTCTTTCGCCCTCTTTTCTCTTCCAAGTTCCATCGACAATCCACATGCCAATCAATTAATGATGCTGCGGACTGAGTCTTTTGCTTGTTGACTCCGCAACAAAGGAAGAAATGAAAAGGACTGAAGGAGAAAAGATTGAATTCTAATTGAGTCCCCACTTTTCATGTTTCTTGAATAGGAAATGTCTATAATAATACCATATGAGAAATCAAACCAGTCAATTGATACATGACCGTAAGTAAAATATTCAAAAATGATTGACAGATAATTCTTTTTACAATTTTTTTTATATAACCTTAATTGTTATTTAATGATTGACTATTTTTATTTTACTAGAACTCGTAATACTATATGTATCCATTCATTTAATAATATATGAAAATTATTAACAACTTAAATAACTCAATGATACTTTCCTTCCATAAGAAATGAAAGATCTTGAGTTCGAATTATATAATATGTAAGTACAGATATTAATGCATCTAATTGAGTCGAGTACCCAAGTACTCATGCTCGAGCTAGCCTTAAAAATTCAAGTTTAAGTCAAACTCGAGAGTATTCAAGTGAGTTTGAGTTTATTGGTGAGCTTGAGGTTATTGGTGAGCTTGAGCTAACAAGCACTTTAACTTGAATTTGAATTTCTTTCTTGTAGTTCCTGTTTCAATCACTACTAAAATTCAAGCCTTCAGCAACATGCTTCCATGTTGCTGAAAATACTTTCCATGTTGCTAAAAGTCCTTCAACAACATGGGTTTGGTTGCTAAAAGTTTTGTTGGAGAAGGCTTGGTGGGTAATACATTACCAACCAAAATCATGTTGCTAATATATCAGCAACATAAGCTATGTTGCTGAAAAAAAAGTATCAGCAACATAAGTTATGTTGCTGAAACTTTCACCGGAATCCGATGGGAAAGGGAGATGAATTTCCTCACCCTCTTCAGCAACATAAGCCACGTTGTTGAAAATGGGGTTTCAGCAACATGGCTCATGTTGCTGAAAATTAGTGGTAAACCGATGACCGGAACTTGGCCTCATTTTCAGCAACATAACCCATGTTGCTGAAACTAGATTTTCAGCAACATGGCTTGTGTTGCTAAAAGTTAGGAGGGACTAGTTGATGGTGATTATAAGTGTACTATCAGCAACATAGTCCTTGTTGTTGATAGTGAGCTAAATAGTAATCCTCCATGCTTTCAGCAACTTAACTCTTGTTGCTGATGTTTCAAAATGTCTAATAAAAAAAAATTATACATACTAATATTTTAAACACATATTCTTTACTTTCACTTATATTATAATTAATATATTACATTAATTTCATATTATAATTATTAAATTTAACAATATTTAAATATGAAATTCACTTCTTTTTTGTATAATCACCAAAAATT